GCATCAATAATCAAAAGGGAGCTAAGAAAGTAAGAAAATATGAACCTCAATTTGAAAAAGAATTCAATTGCAAAATGATCGAAAGAATTCTTGATAGAAAGTTGCTAGACAAAATATCAGACATGAGAAAAGCAGTTTTAGCATAAGAACACAAGGTTTGTACTAATTAACAAACAAATCAACAGAACCAAGGAAATACCTTAGATAATAGAAACCATGCAACTTCTGAAACTTAAGTTTATATGAAGATGCAAATGGCGCTGGCAGCGATAGTCCGAGCTAACATACATATACACATACAGGGGCGGATCCAGGCCTTGGACAGCTATGGCTCAAACCCTAGGCCTGAGATCCATTCATATAAATTTCAGAAAAGTGTATGAATTTGTAGAGAATTTGGGTAAGAAAATAGAGTTGAACCCTATAGGTGTGGCTCCATTCATATAAACTTCTAGCAGGCTCCACCACTGTATACATAGTTACATACATACAAGAGAATTTCTCGAAACAAACTTGAATTGGTTTAATCAAAACTTTCCTGGTTTCATGTCCGACCTTAGAAAAGGAATGCCAAGAATAACCAGTAGGATCCTGACATGTGTGACGAACTCGCCACCAGTGCTGAGATGCTTGGCATGGAACTGAGCCCCACAGTTTGGTCCAAGGTAGCACAGCATCTCAATCCACACCATGGAGATGAGCTCCCAACGCTGAGCTCCGTTGCTTATCTTGAGAAGGTGATCGGTGATCACACGGCCACGACTAAAGCATGGCTCAGTCACCCCGGGTGACTGCCGCACATACCGCAAGAGTGTCTTCTCATCATGGACGGTGGAAGCTCGAATGATGCGCTTCAGCAGGCGGCGTGCCTTACCAAGCCGAAAATGCCCATTGGTGCCACTCATCACGTCACGCTTCACGACGAGGTACATTACATATCTCGACAGCTCCATGCTCGGAACCCTGCACGGGGAGCGATCATCCTTGTCGGCGAACCAGCACATCTCCGTCGCGATGTGCCAAACAATGACGGTCATTGGAAAATACAAGACGGTATCGATGATGCCATCGGTTAGTATCCCTTGAGCAATGTCATCTTGGATTCTCCCCTCCTGCAGCCACCACTGCAACCACATGCCACTGTACTTGCTGGAATCCCAGTCCCAGTAGTCACTTACACTACGGGTGGTGGCAACCTCAGTCAATTTGTCCAATACGAGCTTTTTCAGTTCAGGAGAGACCGTCTTACTCATGTCGATGTCAGGCATGATACCCGTCTTCCTCACTACCCATCCGCATATTATGCTGCCACGTTCTTCTTGGATGCATGCGTCGATCAGGTTATACTGCGGTATCTTCTCCGACCAGAGGGGTTTGCTCCATGGATTAACAAATCTGACAAGGCTGAAAACACAGCCAAACAAGCCACCTGTTTGGTGTAACTGCAACCAATATGATGAGATGAGCTTGAAGATGGAGGATATGTCCAGGGTGACAGCACCAACTAGCAGTACATAGGACACCATTGCATCTTCTCTTCTGTAGTTGAATGGCCCCTTTAGATCGGTCCCTACAAACAACCTTAGGGCTACCGAGGTTGAGCAAAACGTAATCAGCCGGGCGATTACGCTGTAGACAAGGCCAAGGCGGAACTGAAGCGCCCCATACTTAGTGTACATGTAGTCATAGATCAGTGAGAGTTGGATCTCAACCAGCTTATAAGCCATCTCCACCTGTGTGTCGGGATCTGAACTACGAAGCTTCTCGACGGTTCTCTCAATGATAGTGTCTTCTTTAGACGACCATACCAGGAAAGGGGTCATGTCAGTCAGAAAACCTAGGCATATCCGAAGGCCCTCGCCGGCAGCCATCACCAGGCCCTGGTAAGCTTCATCAGCTTCTCTTATTCTTCCATCACGGACATCTAGATCCTGCACTTCCTTCCCCGGGAAAATATTATGCAGCTCTCGGAAATAGGACTTGGCATCGATGATAACATCATCTTGTACATCCATCACATGATCTGCCACAGAATCACCTCCTGGCTCCATCGCCCTGCTAGCTGCCATGAGAACCAATATTCTCTCGACATACTTGATTGTTCCAGAGATGAACATCAGCACCAATGGCGCCAAGAGCTGCTTGTCCGGGTGCCATGACTTGACCATGATGTAGATCGCTAGGGCCACTTGGGTGACGAGACCGAGGAGGTGACGCTTCCACAGCATTGCATCCTCAATGGAGAAGGCAGAGATCGTCTCCTGGCTACCAAGGTGCAGCAGCAGGAGAGGCGTCCAGAGGAGCACGAGCTGATGATGGTGTGGATCGCCAACGTAGAGCGCCAGACGCCCTAGTGTGAAGGTCGCAATGTAGTCGGCTGACAAGTAGGCCAGCCAGAGAAGAAAGCTTAGAACACGGGAGGTGTTAGCCTTGCGAGTGCTTGAGAACAAGTGGAGGAAGACTTGCAAGCTGAAGCTCGCTAGTACCAGGCACTGGATCTCCCACTCGTTCCAGAGTTGCAGGGCACGTGCCAGTGAGCTGATCAAAGGGCCAAAGATCTACATTAGTTTCTTTGTTTAGAAACTGTACAACTGCATTAATAGAAATTCCAAATATTTTCGTGCAATTTTTTTTGTCTCTCTAAGTATCTTTATGTCCATTGAAGTATGGATCAGTCTTTTTATGTTCCAATCTATTCAAGCAGTTGTTGACAACTCCAAAAATATTCTAGGGCATAAGGTGTGACACCTACCCATCATACTCCCTCCGTCTCAAATTATAGAGCGCCTTTTTTTTAAGAAAAATCAAACTCGGTAGCTTTTGACTAATAATCATACTAGCTATATGTATACTTAGTATTATGCATGTTATATCACTAGATTCATATTTTGAAGTACTTTCATATGATGCTATAATTTCATATTTGTTGGGATCATAGAATGAAATAAAATACTAGTCAAAGTATGTTATTGAAGACCGTGTAAAAAAATATAGTCCTTATAATTTGGGACAGAGGGAGTAACACTTGTTTAGTTTAGTTAGATTTTGATCTTAAAGACTTATGCCCGTTCAAATCTTCTGAATATGAAGATTAAAAGCGGGCACGCAAAAGAGAAAGTCATTAACGTGTGATTAATTGAGTTTTATTTATTAGAAACGTGAAAAATGGATATATTTGATACTTTAAAGGAACTTTCATATAAAACGTTTTCATTTTGTGGTTTGAAAAGCATACTAACGAAAACCGAGGTAAAATCTTTATCTTTACGAGAAAAAAAGTGCTCCTCACTAGTATATTTTCTAATTTCTAATTTTACGTTCACAATAATATATGTCTTTATAGATGGAGGGAGTAACAATGTACTAGTACTAAGAAAGATGGAATATCACCTCATGCCGCTCATGACTGCAACCAGAGCGCTGCTACAACTTGTCAGCCGCTATTGCGGTCTCTGCGAGAGGAACGACCAGGAGGAGCTAGCCGGTAGGACCAGTAGAATGTTGCTGTCTTTGCTTCTCAGCTGTAGTTATCAGGACGTACATTTAATTCACAATTCACCTGCGAATTTTTTTTTAAAAAAAAATCGACTAACCTCCAACGTCGTCCATGGTCGAAATTATGCAAAGACTCCGAGGCAGATTACAGCAAGAATGGAGGATTAGGGAATTGGAGAATGCGAGATTATACCCAGAGGAATGGGATTAGCTAGGATGAAAGATTAGTGCCAATTGATGGATCTTCCGATTACATATACCAGTGCTACTGCGTAGTAGCATCTTCCTTCCCTCCTGCTCACGCCTTAACAACCTCCGATCCTTTTGTCCGGCTCACGCCATACTACAAAGCTAATCAAAAAGGTCATTCTGGATCAGAGAACTCTATTACTGCCACCAAAGTACGCCATAAGTACACTCAAGCTTGATTCTCTGGAAAATCAGTTCCTTCTGACAGACTGTCACCAGGTACTGTGCTTATACTCTTGGGCTGCAGGACCGTGATCGATCAATATCTTGTCAACGAATGCCTGGTACTCTCTCCATCCCAAAATAAACCAACATCCTAATCCTAATATAAACCAACATCGTACGGCATGTGACACATCCTAGTATGGTGAATCTGGTACTAGGATGTGTCACATCCAGTACGACCGTACGAGAGGTTGGTTTATTTTGAGACGGAGAGAGTAGATATGCAACATTCGTCCTGATAAGGGCATGTTCAACGGTTGAGCTTGATTTGAGCTCTTAATTAGTACGCATCATCAAACAGCTATCCACAAATATGTTAACAACTCAAAACACACACTTATCTATTCCCTAATTAACTTTTTTTACTACTATGCAGGACTATATGGCCATCATCTTTTCGCTTATGTTTATACTTATCGACTAAAATTTGAATTTTCAACCTTAAATGTAGAGCTGATTTTAAGGTTTTTTCATCGAAGTTTATTTTTCAGCCTTTGCTTTTAGATCATTAAGGACACGTATATAAAAGTTTTATTCACAAATTACTTTTCGTTTGTAAATATGTCGTTTCGCTTATTCCACGAATAAGCCAAACGATGGCTCTGTGTATGTTTTCTCTCGCATTTCGTGCCAAGAGTCAATGTTTTGGCATACGATCGACTCTTGTCTCTTCCCTCCCTCTATTTGGAGAAGTAGAGGGATTAGTTAAATATAAAAAGGCGAAGAACAGTGAGCCATGCTCCATTCAGTCATATTTCTTTGTTAATCTACAGAATCAGGAAAATCGAATACAGTTTGCAGGTATGAGGTTTGCATATCTGTTTCAACATCCTCCAAACTCTAAATAGATCAACCATGAGAAGTTAAACATAGCACTACACAGAGAGAGAGAGAGAGAGACTCCTAGATGATACAGAATACAAATTAATTTCCATAACTCGAAAAATTATCTATAGATATAACTAAAATTTTGCAGTGAAAATTTTCTACTGCCAGAGTAATCATTCGTACCTTCTAAGACGTATCAGACAGGAGGAAAGCAGCTTTAGCATAAGGAACACAAGATTTGAACTTACAACAAACAACAAATCAACAGAACCAAGTAAATACTTTAGATAATAGAAAATCAGGCATTTTCTGAAACTTAGGTTTATGCAAAGATACATACGACTGGAACAAACAGCCCAAGCTAACATAAATACATAGTGACACACATACAAAGGGGTTTTCTCGAAACAAAGCTGCAGGCGCAATCATTAGTTTCTTTCTCAGAATTTCCCTGGTTTCATGTCAGACCTGAGAAAAGGAATGCCAAGAACAACCAGTAGGATCCTGACATGCGTGACAAACTCACCACCAGTGCTCAAATGCTTGGCATGGAACTGAGCCCCGCAATTGGGTCCAAGATAGCACAACATCTCGATCCACAGCATGGAGATTAGCTCCCAGCGCAGAGCTCTGTTGCTTATTTTGAGAAGGTGCTCAGAGATTGCCCGGCCACGACCGAAGCATGGTTCGGTCACCTGGCCGGTTGCCTGTCGTGCATACTTCAGGAGCCCCCTCTCATCACTGATACCCCGTCCTTCAAGGATGCGCTTCACCTGGCGGCGTGCCTTGCCAAGCTCAAAGTGTCCATTGCTGCCACTCATCACATCCCGTTTTGCAACGAGGTACATGACATACCTTGACAGCTCCATGCTCGGGGCCCTGCATGGGGAATAGTCATCCTCGTCGGCGAACCAGCACATCTCCGTCGCGATGTGCCAAACAATGACTGTCATTGGAAAATACAAGTCAGTGTCGGTTATGCCATCAGTTAGTATTCCTTGAGCTATGTCAGCTTGGATTCTCCCCTCCTGCAGCCACCACTGCAACCACATGCCACGGTACTTGCTGAAATCCCAGTCCCAGTAATCACTTACACTCCGGGTGCTTGCTACCTCGAACAGTTTGTCCAGTACCAATTTCTTCAGTTCAGGAGAGACTGTATTACTCATATTGATGTCAGACACAATGCCTGTCCTCCTCATCACCCAACCGCATATTATGCCACCACGTTCTTCTTGGATGCATGCATCAATCAAGTTATACTGCGCTATCTTCTCTGACCACAGTGGTTTGCTCCCTGCATGAACACACTTGGCAAGACTGAAAGAACAGCCAAACAAGCCACCTCTCCGGTGTAACTGCAGCCAATATGACGAGATAAGCATGAAGATGGAGGATATGTCCAGTGTGATTGCACCGGCTAGCAGAACGTAGGACACCATGACATCTTCTCTGCTGTAGTTGAATGGCCCCTTGAGATTGGCACCCACAAACAAGCCTAGGGCTGCCAAAGTTGAGAAAAATGTAATGAGCCGCTCGATTCCGCTGCTGACAAGGCCAAGGCGGAACTGAAGTGCCCCATACTTGGTGTATAAGTAATCATAGATAAGTGAGAGCTGGATCTCCACCAGTTTATAAGCCATCTGCACTTGTGTTTCAGGATTTGAAGTACGGAGCTTCTTAATGGCACTATCAATTATAGTGTCTGTGTTAGACCATACCAGGAAAGGGGTCATGTCTGTCAGAAAATCAAGGCATAACCGGAAGCCCTTGCCAGCAGCCATCACCAGACCCTCATAGCCATCGTCATCTGTTCTTCTTCCTCCATTGTGACCTTCAATGTCCAGCACATTCTTCCCAGGGAAAATACTATGCAACTCATCAAAATAGGATTTAGCGTCTAAGATAACATCGTCTTGTACCCCCAGCACATGATCTGCCATGGAATCGCTCCCTGGCGACATTGAGCTGCTGGCAGTCATAAGTGCCCATGTTCTCTCCGCATACTTGATTGTTCCAGAAATGAACATAAGCACCAAGGGCCCCAAAAGTTGCTTGTCCGGACGCCATGACTTTGCTACGATATAAATTGCCAGGGCCACCTGGGAGACGAGGCCAAGGAGGTGACGCTTCCACAGCATTGCATCCTCAATGGAGAAGGCCGAAATTGTCTCTTGGCTACCAAGATGCAGCAGCAGGAGCGGTGTCCAGAAGAGCACAAGCTGATGGCGTGGATCATCAACGTGGAGCGTCAGGCGACCCAGCGTGAATGTTGCAACGTAGTCGGCTAACAAGTATGCCAGCCAAAGCAGCGAGCTTAATAACCGGGAGGTGTTACCCTTGCGAATGCTAGAGAAGAAGTGAAGGAACACTTGCAAGCTAAAGCTCGCAAGCACAAGGCACTGGATCTCCCACTCATTCCAGAACTGCTGGGCATTCGCCACTAAACTGGATCAAAGGACCAAAAATCCCATGTTAGTTGTCAATCAAACTACTCCCTCATTTCCTAAATGTTTGATGCCGTTGACTTTTTTAAACATGTTTGATCGTTTGTCTTATTCAAAAAAATTTGTGAAATGTGTAAAACTATATGTATAAATAAAAATATTTAACAATAAATCAAATGATAGGAAAAAAATTAATAATTACTTAAATTTTTTGAATAAGATGAATGGTCAAATATTTTTTAAAAAGTCAACGGTGTCAAACATTTTGGGATGGAGGGAGTAGTTATCAAGCCATGCAACTACCTGGAGAATAATTCCAAAAACGTTTTATGAAAAATTTGAATGCATTTTTACAGTTTGAACTTCATATCAGTTTTTAGATGTTCCTGTTGAGATTCCCCCCTCCCCCCACCCCCCAAAAAAAAAAAATCCCTGCTAAGATTGAACCATAAAATCTTCCCTCTTAGAGATTACTGAGTTTCCTCACACAAACTGTTTCAACAAACACACCAAAACATAAGCTTTTAACACCCACATATTCGTGTGTGATATTTATGCGATACAATGCCTTCTACACAAGAGTCCATACAAGTCTATTGATAGCAGGGGTAACGGGTTAACACTTATTAACACTATCGGTATCGTAAAAAATTTCGGCGGTCACCCGAAATTTCAAAATTCTACAGAAGTTTCGAACAAAATTTACAAACGCATTTTGGAATCGGAAGAAATTTCTGCAGCAGTCCTGCGACTTCATTGAGCAGCAAAGGGGGAAGGTACCTGGAATCCTACAGCCGGATCGGGAAGAGCCGCAGCCGCGAGAGGGGTTGGCGAGTCGCGAGCGCCGCCGCGGCCATACGCCGGGAGGAGTGGGCTGCCGCTGCCGCCGTGCAGTGCAGGGAAGCTCGGGCGAACCATCGAGGGGATTTTTTTTTTTTTAGAACTCCTTTCGAGGGGATTGACCGATTGAAATGGGATGTTAGGAAGAACAGAGTTTTTCTCCTTTTTTTTATTAAGACCAATTTGACCGAAATTTTCACCTGGATGTGACTGACTACCAGGCCCACTGATATATGCAAAGATAAAAATTCTCTGATTAACTTTATATTCTAATTATCCCTCGATGGCTCGAAGGCTATTTAAAATATATGATTGGAACAAATGTAGAAATTTGGCAAATCATATGAGAGGAACAAATGTAGAATTTTGACATAAATGTGACAAAATTTAGGGTTAGGAATTTGATGAGAGATAAAGGCTTGTATGAGTTTTTTTTAATCAGGTTGAACGTCATATTTGGTTCCCTTCAAAACTCATATGGATTAAGGTATTCCTTTGTATTCCACCTTTATTAAAAAAAACATTTAAAAAAGAAATCTGGTAGGACTAAAATCTAAAAATTCTGACCCCAAAGTATGAAACAGGTGATGATTTTGTAGGTGGTTTTGGTCACTTGGACTACAGTGAGAATAATAACACGACAATGAATTTGGCTTGTCCTTTGGTTGGAGGAATTGTGTCCTATTATAGGGAAAAAAATATAGTCATTTAAAACAAAAGATTGATTCTTACAAATTCCATTGTCTATAGGTTTTTTGGAAGAGAATAAACATGAGGTTACTACGTTTTTCCTTGTATATCATTCATATGATAATTTATAACTTACCTATTTTTTAAGTTCTTAATAGAAATCTATTAACTTATTAAAGGAATAGAAAAATGAGCCTCCACGTTCGTTCTCACGGCTTAGAAATTCCCACATTAATCGGAGAAAAAGAAAAACATAGTCCATATAGAAATACAATTTAAAAATAGTGGAAATTCGGAAGTAAAAAAATAAGAAATATTGGAAGAGGAGACTAGAGTCCATATAGAAATACAATTTAGAAATAGTTGAAATTCGGAATTAAAAATAAGCAATATTGGAAGAGGAGACTGGAGTCCATATAGAAATACAATTTATAAATAACTGAAATTCGGAATTAAAAAATAAAGAATATTAAAAGAAGATCATAGAGTCCATATAGAAATACAATTAATAAATAATAGAAATTCAGAATTAAAAATAAGGAATATTAGAAGTAGAGTATAGAGTCCATATAAAAATACAATTAAGAAATAATAGAAATTTGGATTAAAAATAAGGAATATTAAAAGTAGAGTATAGAGTCCATATAGGAATTTAAAACTAACTAAAATTTGAATTAAACATAATAAAATTAAAAGTAGAGTTTAGAGTCCGTATAAAAATATAATTTACAAATAACTAAAATTCAGAATTTAAACAAAACGTGAGAAGAACAGTCTAAAGTCAATATAGGAATACAATTTAGAAGTAACTGAAATTTGAAATTAAAACTTAAAAATATTAAAAGATGAGTTTAGAGTCCACATAGAAATACAATTAGAAGTAATACAAATTTCAAAATTAGAAATAAATAATATTAGAAGAAGAGACTAGAGTCTATATGGAAATACAATTTACAGATAACGAAAATTCAGAATTAAAAATATATTGAAAGATGACTCTAGAGTTCATATAAGAATATAATTTACAAATAACTAAAAGTTGATATTAAAAATAATTAATAACTAACACAAATATAAAATACAATATGAATATTACACATTAGTAGTTCGTAAAATTAGTACAAAATTTAAAATTATATTATCATTTTAATATAATTGAATAATACATTAAGGAAACATATATGCTATTGTACGAGAGAAAATATAATGATGCTAGCCGCGCAATCTGCGCGGACCACCGTGCTAGTTTAATGAACATGATATTCCACTCATACGTTTTTTATTTGTTTCAGTATTTTCACATTTTCTAAAAAGAACAAGTAAGATGCTCTCGGAACCAAAGCACATCAATGTCAACATGTAATTCCGGGTTCATTGATTAGAGAGAAACAAAGATGCTAGATTGGTTTCAGTAAAATACATCAACGAGTTGCTCCCGCAAGCAATACCACTCTATGTGTTATTTGAACCAATTTCTGCAAATTAGGAGGTAGAATACTTGATTATGATTAAGGGGATTAAGTAGAACAATCTGATATTGGTGGTGTTTAAATCCCCTGAAGATGAAGATGAAGATAAACATAAATATTAAGTGTTTCACGTAAAACGAGGTGGTAATAACGGGTGATTAATTGATTTTAAATTATTACAAACTTGAAAAATGGATTAATCTTATAATTTAGAATAATTTTCATATAGAAAGTTTCCGCACGAAACGCACCGTTTAGCAGTTCGAAAAGCGTGCCACTTCTATCCAAAAGTTTATCCAGTTTTGGTTGGAGAAAAGAACAAGGCAAACCCAGATTAGAAAACATTTTTTTTTCAAGGAACATCTCATTTTAGCTGGTCCCTAATAAAACACATGTTAAAGAGTTAAAGTAATAGAGATTTTCCTATCCAAAATTAATCTCGATATGTAATATGAGGGGGAGCTATCCGATCTTTTTCAAAATATCATATGGTAAAATGTTTTAGCTGACCGCAAGTGCAATATTAAGTTATATATAGTGAAACAAAACAATCAGCCTCTGAGACATTCAAAAATTTTGTGAAACACGGTAATTCACATGTTGAAACATATTGCTTTCACGTATGAAAAATTAAGTTATCACTGTTTGAAACATATGTTTTCTTTATCAGAATATAATCATGTGATATCTTGTTGTAAAGATTTGATTATTAGGAATTCAACGGTGTAATCGAATCATTGATCGGATAAGTAGTTTAGGAGAAAATTTATTTTAAAGATCACTAAATACATAAATACATACATGTATGCATCCATGGAATACAGAGAGAGCCACTAGAATGGCATGAGAGAGTAGATGCATGAACATCTGATACTTTGTCGGATGGCATGAGAGAGTAGATGCATGAACATCTGATACTTTGTCGGTTACTAGTGAAACATTAAACAAAAAATTCAGTTATTAAAATATTTTTTAAAACACACATAAAACATATCGCTACCATGTCTAAAACGTTGCATTTTAACGGTTTGAAACATATGTTTTTTCTTTCTTTGGAATATAATAACTTGATATCTTGTTGCAAAGATTTAATTATAATAAATATAATGATGTGATCGGAGCATAGATTGAAAAATTAGTTTAGAAGAAAAATATTTTGAAAATTATTATATGCATGCATGGATGGGTATCCACATGCATAGGTGGAGTGGATAGGAAGCTACAAAGGCTGTTAATCCGGAGTTTTGGCCCGTGCGTGGACGGCAGATGCAAAGTATTTTCTGTAATATGAGTCAATTAGGAATGGTGAGATAACTAATTCTTCTTGACCAAGAGCTGTTCGATGAAATTAATTAGCTAATAATTTGCTGGGTCAATATATTCTTCTTCATCCAAAAGGAAATAATTTTAGGCATATGACAGATTATGACCGTGAGAGCTAGCAATTGCAATTTATGTAAGAAAACATATTTTCCATATCCCATTTTGTATGGATATAATATATCAGTAATATGGATAAATCATATATGTGGCAGGCATCTAGTACACTACGAAAGCTGCAAAAGATCTGTTTGAAGAGCTTTTAGCCCGCTAGTGGCCTGCAGATTCCGCTAGAATCTCAAACTCTCTCAAACAGATCCATCTATTGTCCATAAAAAGGTAACGATGGTCACAGCAATGCATCATCTACTTCCATTGTAAATTTTGCGAGCTACTCTTTGAACTTCTTAATATTAAAAAAGATCAAAACTAAATGAATAGCAATAAAAAATAGATTTAAATACATTTTCGTTTATCCGTAGCAAAGCACAGCCATTTAGCAACTATGCTAAGAATATATAGTCATGTAATCAAGAAAATAAACTAAAAGACAAAAGCTAAGAAATATAGCTTTTTCTGTTTCTCAAATTTTGGCTAATAGTCAGCTGCTTCTCCAAATCTTGCTTCATAAATAGAACTAAAACCACATTAAAAATAAGAAATAATGCTACAAGACCAAACCAAACCCAACCAAAGCAACATTAAGGCAGGGTGCTAGATACAACCTACCAACGAAAGCTACATTGCAGGGTGCTACATACAAGCTGCAGAAGGATGGTTACTTACCCCATGGCTGATGGCTCAATGGCCGCAAACTACAGAATCTTTCCGTTTCTCTGGTAGGGGAGAGAGGTTAGAGGAGGAGCTCCATGGCCGCCAGCCGGGGGATCTGGGATCGCTGTGTGTAAGGGTAAGTCGTCGTGCAAGTCGCGATGCCTGTCTTCATGTGCATTTAATTAACCTCAAACCCCACGGGCCAGGGGGAAAAAACAAAGACGTCAAGGCCTCATCAGTCATCAGTCGCGATTAATATGTTTTCAAGGACAAAAGCATTTTTGCAAGTGGCCAAAAGCAATTTTTGTAAGCGGAGGAGAGGACCGCCAACAAACCAACGACCGTGAAAATCATCCATTTTTGCAGGCGGGGCAATGGCCCGCCTGCGAAAATCCAATAAAAAAAATCGCCTTGCTGCCACTGCCCTCCCGCGGCCTCCCTCCGGCCGGATCTGGGAGGGGAGTGGAGGGGAGGGGAGCCGCCCACGTCGTTGCCGCCGCCGACGCCCTCCCCTGTCCACCCTCCGACCGGATCTGGGAGAGGAGGTACTTGTCACGCCCAGAAATTCCCGAATGGAATCCCAAGCAGAATGTGCATTAAAATCCCCGTCCAGGACCAGCCGGGGTACACAAACGACAATGTTGACATACAGATCCACGTCTTACAAACATCATAAAGTCTTACATAAATGCAGCGGAAAACAAAGAAACTGAAGCTAAGCCTTGACTAAGCTGCAGCGGGAACACCACCCCACAGGCATCCTCGACGGCACGGACGAAGCCTACTCCTCAGAGAAACCTTCATCTGACCCGAACTCGAACTCTGGAGGTTGGGAAAAGTAGAGCAAGGCTGAGTACTACCCACTGTACTCAGCAAGTCATACTGGAATGGAGGGTATGATGCATGGATTCAACAAGGGATAGCTAAACAGGTTCATTTGCATAAATACTGGCATTTATAAACAAGAATTTGAATGCGAAAACAGTTGTAATAATTTAGCAGTATTAATCATCCACTGTTCAACGCTACACCACGTTGCAACAGGCCCAACCATCCACCTATGCTATACAAATTAAAGGATTATACTAAGGTGAGACTAATCACGGTGAATCTGGTTGACCGCCCATAACCGCGAGCACGGCTATTCGAATAGTTTTACTCTGACCAGAGGTGTACAACTGTACCCACAAGACACAGCCCCACGACACGTTTCCGTGCGCCGACATGCCACCACGACATACCGGAAAGAGGCCGTGACAGGACCCTTCGCATAACCCCCTCTAGCCAAGCACACCACACCTCAGGTTTCACCCCCGTCCCCAGCGGGCGACGGGCAGTCCCCTCTCGTGCCTAGGTGAATCCGGAAGCGACAGAGGCCGTCGCAGGGCCCGCCCCGCTCCATCACGCCCACCCTTGCCTGGATGCGTCGACTAGAGGAAAGCTACACTACAAGCCCAGCCGTTGCCCACGCTGGCTTGTGGTAAGTACGATAAATTCTTCCAGGGCATCCCGCGAACCGGTCCTTAACTGCCATGGGTGCGACCAGCAAAACCATGCACCCACAGCCCACCATGTGATTCATTTTATTTAACCAACACCGGAGCGGTGGTATTAAACCAACATTATCACCTATAGTCTAGGTTTTAAATGAGATTCCCCAATGTGTGCTAGTTGAACTAAGCATGGCTAAGCAAACCCTAGTCCT